AATGGTTAGGTTTAGGGTTATTGTCAGGGTTAGGGCATAGAAAGGGTTGAAAATGACTGAAAATCAATGGAAGTCAATGGGAGTCAACACATGGTCCTCACTACATATAGTAAAACAAGAGTGTCTGTGTGTGTGTGTGTGTGTGTGTGTGTGTGTGTGTGTGTTTGAGACACAAAAGGGAGGAAACAGCAATTATTTCCAATCTGAGGTCAAAATCTGTCTGTCTGGCTCCAAACCTCACTCAAATTTCACTCGTCCTTGTCGGAAACTTCAGATCTTCACTGATCGCTAATTCTTCCACTCTAGCAGTTTCATCTTGCTTAATTGCAGCAGCAACACACACAAGCATACACACACATATTAACACATAGATAGACTGACTGTAAATGCAAACAGCATTCACTTGTGAGGGCAAAATAGGCTTAATTGCGTAAAATCTTGTGGCAAAACCACAACCGGTATGTACTTTTTGAGTGCGTGTCTGTGTATGTATTTTTGTGTCACTGCTGAAGAGATAAAAGGCTTGATGATGCTTTTTTTCCAAATCAGGAAATAAAGAGCTGCCAAATGGCTATGGACCCCCTCAAGGCTACTCATTATGGGGTTAAAGTGATGAACACACAATCCCGTGCACACACAAACACACACATAACACTTAACTGTGTTTGAAGACTCAATGTCTTCTGACAGTCTGCTTACCTCTTTCAACCCTGTCTCTCTAACCTCAGCTCTCTCTGTTGGGGCAGGTCTGAGATGAAAGTCAGCCTGAGCCTCTTTAGCCTCCCCAGGGGTATTAATCTTCTAACGATTGTATAATCTCCAATAAATAACCTGTGTGTTTTTAGTTGTGCCCTTAATAAGTTTGTGTGTGTCATTTGAGCTAGTATGCTGCACAGTTTGCAGCAGAGTAGTTTGTTTACTTTAGGATCCTGTTTTTACTTTACAACAATTGCTGAACTGAATCAAATCAGAGCCATCTTTGGTACCTCGTTCGCTTGATTAGCTGTGGCCTCGTATCTGTTTTTCATTTGCTTGGGTTTAATTACAGCAGAATAAATCCAAAATGAAATGGCGCATAGCAATGGGGTGACAATTAACTCTTTTAATCACAAAAGATACACAGGAAAAGCTTGCTAACAGCAAAGATTTAAACAACAAAAAAGACTAAGAAAGACCTAAAACCATCTGCTAACTGTATCAGTAATTCCTTAATGTGTGACATTATAGGAACCTGTCTCTTACAGGCAGTTTTAAATGGATGACAATAAGATTTGTTTGGACAGGAAACATCCCCAGCAACCCCTCCCACAACCAAGCAGTAGAAGATGTTACAAATGAATAGAAAAGTTAATTTGAATGCTTAAATTTTATGCAGGAAGGGAAAACTGTTCAGCCCTGCAAACACTGATATTTGTTTTTAAACAAAAAGTTTAAACAGAAATGTGTATCATGATCTATTTTTTTTTAAACAAAAACACAACAATTAGTCCTGCTACTACTGCTGCTTAATTAATATAGTACATTAATTATTAGGTATAATATTATCTGTAACATTTAATTAATTGATATTTTGATACAAAGACTCAAGCAAAACCATAGAATAAACAGCTGCTAAACTGATTAGCCGTTTTCAAGTATTACTTGTATTTATTTACTTAAATTACACCCTTTCCTGCTCTTTAAAGACTTTTACAAGTAGAAGAAGTTTATATTACCTTAAGTACTTTGACCTTCTGCTCTGGTAGTCATCCTGCAGCCAGCTACTAAACAGACATGCCACTCCTAGCTTGCCAACTGTAATTTTTCCTATCGGATAAGACACTTTCAGATCATCCTTGTGTTCGGTGATCAACACATGTTCTTTATGTCTCGTAAGCAACTGCAAGGTCCCAACGCGGAATGGGTGGTTGAAGTCAACCCCTCAATATTGTGCCACTGATCCACCACAGGGAAGTTGTTGCAAACCTGTCATCGCTATGAATTATAAGGGGTAATGTGAAATGGTGGAACAATCTGATGTTTTTCGTCAGCATAAAAGCCTTACGTAGTTGCTGAAGATTTGTCTGATGCACAGTCAGTTGTTTATGATTTATTTGAGGTTGTTTTATGTCATTTCTGCCCCTTCCATGTGAGTGTCATTTCTATAATCAAGACTCATCAGACCAGTCAATGTTTTTCCAATCTGTTATTGTCTAATTATGGCGAGCCTTGCGAATTGGACCTTTGAGTTTCCATGTTAATCCTAGTATATCTGCATTTTCTGAAATACTCAGAGCAGCCCCTCTGGCATCAACAATGTTCAGAGTCTTTCTCTGAGGCTTCAAGATTTAATCTGCTTCATCAGTTCTTGTGGGAAATAAACCCTCTGCATCTTTCTACCTACATATTATTCACAGATGAATTGTGTGGGAAATGGCTTTTCCCCATCATTGCTTGATTTTTAAAAAAGGTATTTATTACAGATCTCAATAATGATGGCTTGACTAGGTATTAGGGCAATTAGCAGCCAGGGAAGCCATCCAAGAAGCAAAACAGCATAGACAATGAAAAATGTGGTAAGACGATGTTTTATGGACTCATGAAAAGCACTTAATTTCAGATGACAATCCCATTAGCAGAATACAGAGTAAGATCCTTTTATTCATTTTGGATTTTGGTATGTCTGAAGAGAAATGTCTGTTTTTTCATCAGCAGTTTTATTGCTTTTCTTCTTATTTTTCCTTTCCACTGACATCCATTCTTGCTATCACATATGACATTTAAAATGGCCCTTAAATTTAACAGAACGTTTACCATGCAGCAACTGAAAATACACATGGCAGGGGTGAATTAAAATGTCATAGGGCAAATAAGTCTGTAAATACACAGAAGAATATCTATATAATTTAGGTTTTTAAACGTGCATTAGATCACTCGCTGGATCCAGCTTACTGAAAAAGGATGGCACAGTTAGTTTGATCACTGGCCTTTCTACCTTCCTGGATCAACGTGAGTCTGCCCTACCATAAACACAATCTAACACACATGCAAACATAATCCATTCCAGTCGTACACAGGTCCAGAAGTTAATCAGTGCACTGGTAAGGAGCTTAAACCCTCAAAAGGCAATTACTCTATCCCTTTACAGACCAGGGCTCAACCTGCCAAATGTGCACAAGATCTCAAACAGATGTTACACAGTTTGACAACATGTAAGCCCTGCTTGTTTCTCTATGCATGCACAATGCTCCCAAAAAGCAATACGTTTAAGCCAGTGACAAAAGACAAGATGTCACTATCACCATTCAACACGTCTAGAAAAACATTTTCATACTATTCACGATTCAGTGAATGTTTATTTAACTAAATGCCACTTCATTCAAGTTAAACCCTGCCCAATGTTGTAACAGCATAAAGTATAAACTGTAGTCATGAAATATTATGCAGGTTAATTATCTGAGTTTTCACCGGCAATAAAACATCATTGAAGTGGGTTTGGAGATATAAAGGAGAGAACCCACAAACTTTATGGATTTCCCCTCCATCAAGTTCCTGTAGTCTCTCATCTAAACCTCCAACAGTTCTGGAAAACAACACATCAGAAAAGGTATAAAAAAAACTATTTAAATTCAGAGTCTACTGTCTGTCGGATTCATAAAAAAAGTGAGTCTACTATATGTTATTGTTTTGAAAGAAATGTAGCAATCCGCTTAATAAAGGAAGGCATTTTTATGATATATTACTACAGACCAGTTCACAAACTTGTTTTAAAATGCTCTAAGATAGTTGTATTTCTTTAGCCTGCTCTATCATTATGGGGCTGCGTGGCGTTGGTGTAGTTGGTAGCACTGTTGCCTTGCAACAAGAAGGTCCTGGGTTTAAATCCCAGTATGGGGTCTTTCTGCATGTAGTTTGCATGTTCTCCCGTGCAGACAAGAGTTCTCTCTGGGTACTCTGGCTTCCTCCCACAGTACAAAAACAGTCATGTTGGGTCAATCTATTACCCTTAGGTGTGACTGTGGTTGTTTGTCTCTTGGGTTTCTGTTGCCCTGTAATGGATATGCAACCTGTCCAGGGTGTATCCTGCCTCTCTCCCAACAACTGCTGGAGATAGAGACCAGCCCCCTACTTAGATAAGTTTGGATTTTAGAGATAACTTAAGCACAGCATAAGTTCTTCAGAGTAAAGGTTCTTTATATTTTCTTCTCTTCACTTATCTTTTTAGAAGTTCCTAATGTAGCAACGATCAACTGTTGGTGCCTTATGGCTCTGCATTGCAGATAATTTGTGTTTACAATTCAAATACTTAATACAAATATGTGTCTTTATCCCTAAAGGCTGCCAGCCCAAGTACTATCAACGGTGTTAGTAAGGTTTGATAGACAAAAGTTTCACTACTCTTTCCAGTTTAATAACGCGTCATTACCTCCATAATGGTGATAATAATCTCACCATTCTTCTAAATACCAATAATGTTCTGAACATTATCCACTGAGTGTAAAAATGTAGCCACTTCAATCTCATTCCAACTGCCCTGGCTGTCTTTTTTGATGTGAGTGTTGTAAAAGAGGAATGTGCTGCAGGCTTTCTGTCTCTCTACTATGATTTGGAGGCTGTAGGATTGTAAATGCAGGGATGGTGGGGTGGCAGGCCTGTCAGTCAAATGGGACCAACTGCTTTTACCTTTAGCTGGCTTAAACTGCCAGCACCCCTAAAAACCTCTTCTAATAGAGCTTACTGATTGGAAAAAGATCTAAAGAGGGACAGGGCTGTGTATGTTTCTGCAAAGCCTTCAGTTGTGTTTGAAAGGCCCACAGGAAGTCAAAGCTCACTGAACAAAGTAGCCACCAAGGCTCACTTATGCGGAGCTTAATGAGCTGTAAATAAATATATCTGACTTGCTAGTTTAATGTAAAAATAAACCCACAGTTAAGGTGATTTCCAAGACTGGAGACAGACCCAAAGCTCAGACAACAGCTGGCCCTCATCTACTTGCTAAATATCAATTTACTCCAAAGCCACCCAGCTGCATCACAGTGGTTTATCAGAGCAAGTTGAGCTCTTACATGAATCAAATGATGCATTCATGTACCAACAAATCATTTTGGGACATTGGTTCACAAACTTTTTCAAAAAATATGACTTCAGTTAACACTAAGACCTCCTAGTACCACCATACTGACCAGCATTTTGAAATGACAATACAGTAGGAACTGTTTTTGTTGTTTCCATAAAACCAAAGAAGTGTTTTGCTGGGTACAATTTCCATGTTTCAAATTGAAATAAAAAAGGAAGATCCCCTGAAGTCGCAATTTAAAGTGGTGAAGTCAAAAGATTTTTCATAAGCGCTGAGCTCAAAATCTATATGGCTAAAACCTGTTTAAAACTTAGGGATAGCTGCTGTAATGTATTTGCATTTCTAACAGTTTGTATCTCATTAACTCTTTTACACACATATGACTGTACAACATGTTGGAATGAACATCTCTCTTCAGTGTCTGAGTTTATAAAATGCAAAGAATAACACAGCCATTACCTTGTTTCGATCAAAACTGAGCAAATTAGCATTACACTGGTTTTCCAATTTGCAACTAGAACATGGTCAAGCTGTGTTTGCTTACATTCACAAATCAAAGTTCTAACTTTAGAGGCAATACGGGTAGAGATTATGTCCAAACACAAATTACTGGTGACCACAATCCAACAATTTTGCTCACCAATGGGCGACCAAAACCAGCCAGATAGATTGGCCCTGACTGGCGACTGGCCAGTTGGAAACCCAAAAATGTATTTGTTATATTGTTCATAAACCTGCAATAGAGAAAAAGGGTGTATTCACACCAGGAAAGTCCTTTGGTCCACTTGTTTAGACCGGACCAAAAGCGAAATTTATTTTTTTCATTTGGTGCGGTTTGTTTTCACATTGTACTTTTTGCAAGTGAACTATTACTTGTAAACAAAGCCACGCGAGTGACGATCATTGTTCCCATTGGACAGAAATGATGGGGGCGGGACAGAGCACAGTCCCGGAAATTTAGGAAAACAGCTGTAGACGTGCTGCGTGCAGCAACTCTGTTCTGCATATTTGTGCCGTTATTACAGCTGCAATATTATTGTGAGAGTCAAGAGCAGCTCATTCAACACAGATTTTGAGACGTTCCATTTATAATTTTGGAACCCAGCCGGAGAATGCGTGCTGAATGCCGACGTTCTCTACGTGCCTTGTCCCACAACAAGTCAGTAGCATTGCTAAGCAACACACAGCTTATCAGGTATGATTACCTTACAACACACACCTTTGCTACCGGCTACGGTGGCTTTTTATGTCCAAAGAGACGTACGCTTTTTG